CCCCCCCCCCCCCCCCGCCAGTCCCGCTGCTGTTGTTGCTGCTGCAGTCACGTGGGAGCCCCTTTAAGTTTCCATAGAGAGGCCTCTCCGGTGTCACATGATGGACATGATATAATGAAACAACATTGTGGAGAGGAAAGCATTAGGGGAGCCCACGGCTACAAAAACAAGTGAGTGAGAAGAGGTGGGAGGAAGAGAAACTACGCCACCACTCCTGCAGCCGGGCGCACGCAGCAGCCTGGCGTGACAAGTGGGTGACGCCGGGGGGGCAGGGAGCCGGGAGTCCTCAGCTCCGACCCGGGGACCCCGCCGCCCACCGCGCTGGAGAGCAACTTTTAGCCGGCAGCGCCTGCCAGCACTGCACCTGTCTCAGGAGTCTCCATCGCTCCTCGTGACAATCCCAGGGACCTTCTCGAAGCATAAGCTGTACAAATGTACGTGCGCATCGTTTTCCCCCTCGGGCTCGCTCCGGAGCAAGGGACCAGAGGAGGGTCTCAGCGGCGTGGCTCAGCCCAGAGGTAAGTTCTGTAGGGTGGGGAAAGCCGGCCCGGCAGGACTTGGGATGGGAATTTTGTTCCCTCTTCGGCTCTCAGGGGACGAGGAAGGCGTCCCCACGCGCCCGGTGAGAAAGATGGGTTTGCTTCTCGGTCCGGAACATTTCCCCGGTGGACTCTGTTACCCACTTCGCGCGCCCGGCGTGCCCGCCCTCGGACTCTTGGGGGTGCCTTGGCCGCCCACCGGCACCGTCAGCAGGTCCTGGCCGGGGTGTTTGGAGGCGAGCGAGGGCTGGTGCGTGAACCGGGCACGTCGGAGCGATTGCGCCATGTTTGTGTTGCTAGGAGGACTTTTTCCCCTTTGCGGTGGCTGGATGCCACATGGCTCCTCGGGAGCCGCTGCCGGGTTGGGAGAGTGTTTTTTTTCAATGTCCGCATTCCAGCTAATGTTGCGCAGATAAAATTCAAACTTGAGGTAAACAGAGGAGGAGGAGGAGGTTAAGGAGGAGGAGGAGGTGGAGGGAGGGGGGACTGTTTCCATTTCGAGATCCCACCTCTTCACTCCGCCGAGACCAACATCCCGAACCTGGAGACAACTCTCCCTTTCCCCACGTCCCCCACCTCCGCTGTCAACGACAACGGGGGGGGGGGGGGGGGTGGATCGGAAAGGACGCGGTGTCTCGGTTCTCAGCGGGAAAAAGCCACCCCTGGAACTCAGGCCTTTGGCTCGGTCCCTGTTCTCCAGCAGGGACGTAGGGTGTCTGGGTTGGCTATGGAGGCGGAGGCGGGAGGGTCCAGCTCCCTGGTGGGGCGAGGGTGCGAGTCCCCTCCGAGTCCCTCCGACTTTAGCGGGCAGGCTGCGCGGCTTCCCAGCAGCGGGCGCAGGTCTGGCGGAGGCGGGTGGGTGGGGCCAGGTTCGGGAGCAGGTTACCCAGCAGGTGTGCGGGGTGGGCTCTCCTGTTTGCGAAGTCCGCTGCGTGGGAGAGGAGGACCTGGGGAGTCTTACCCGAGCGCACGGGCAGAGCAGCGTCTTCTGTTTTGGTTTTTCTTTGATTATTATTTGGCAAAGTGGGAATTAAAATCAAGACGTCCCTCCGCCCCCGTTTTTAAATGTCTGTTCCAGCTCGCAGCTTGGCTGCCGGGTGAGTGGCGTTGGTGAGGGCGAGGGTGCGCTTCGTCATGTAGAAAGCTGGAGGCTCTGACAGCTCGTAGCCCGAGCCCCCCTGCCCGCCCCGGGAAAGGTGCGGGTGGAGCGGTCCGAGGAGGCTGACGTCCAGCGGGGCGGGGGCCGGCTCCGAATCTCGCCGAGCACCGGTCCGGCGGCGGGGTG